TCAAACCTGTAATATCCCATAAAAATAGTAACAATAACAATAATAATAATAATAATAATAATAATAATAATAATAAAATAGTAGTATGTACCCTTATGTATGGAGTTATAGGAATTGATTGCTAATAGTGTGTCATAATTTGACTTTAAAAGTGTAACCTTAATTAGTGGTGGTTTTAGTTGTAACGTTCAGCAGTTATGGTTGGTTATCCTTTTATTAGTAAATGACAATAATTATTTTTATTAATTTTGTAACCATTAATATATTAATAATAGTTAAAATAATTATGATGACCTTTGATTTTACCTGCAGTTTTTATAATTGAAATAAGTATGATGACTTTTGATATTACCTGTAGTTAATGTCTCGATTTCAAAACTACAGCTATAAATAGGAGCTTAACCAAACCAAATCACTTCCCAATTCTCAGCATTTCTCCATTTCTCTTCTCCTCTACTTTCTCTCTTCTTACTTCAAATTTTTATTTATTTATTTTATTATTATTTTCCTTTGGTTACCAACCGTTTTTCTTCCCCCAATCACTTTTCTTCTAAAAGGTAGCCAACACGGAGATCAGGTAATCCTAATCACTAGAGAGTCAATGGTTAGACTTAGCGTTATATGAATATTTGTTTGATGTAATCTCGATGCTTAGGAAACTATAGTTATGTTTTATATTAATTTTATTTGATGTGATTCAAATTTTCATGTAATGTAATCCTAATCCCTAGGTATTTGTAGTTTATCTCTTTTATATGAAATTTGGACATAATCCTTATATGTAAGCCTAATCCTTAGAGAGTCAAGGGTTAGATTTATATGAATTTTTGTTTGATGTAATTTCGATGCTTAGACATTGTAGTTATGTTTTATATTAAATTTATTAGATGTGATTCTAATCTTCGTGGGATAATCAATTAATTTATTTGAAATTTATGTAATCCTAATCCCTAGATGCTCAGAGATTATATTTAATTTGGTATAAGTAATCCTAATCCCTAGGTATCCTAAACCTTGGGTGCTCTTAGGTTATTTTTATATGAAATTTGTTGGGTATAATCCTAATGCTCTAGAAATAATAGATTAACTTTTATAAGAAATTTTGTCTAATGTAATCCTAATCCTTAGGGCATCTTAAATTAGTTTTAGATGAAATTTGGTATACATAATCCTTTAGGTGATCGTAGGATAATTTTATATTAAATTTGTTAAATGTAATCTTAATCCTTAGGGAATTTTAGGATGCTTTCATATATTATATGTAACCCTTAAGGTATTTAAATTAAATTATTTTAACCTCTAGAAATTAATTGGATTAATTATTGGATTTTGGCTTTACTCAAATATATGTGAATATTTGAATTCTGATTTGGAAAATTATGATATGATGATTGGATTTGGGTTTTACTCTTTGAAATTTTATAATATGATGATTGGATTTGGGTTTTACTCTTTGAATTCTGATTTGGAAAATTACGATATGATAGTTGGATTTGGGTTTTACTCTGGTAGATGTTGAATATGAACATTATGATATTTTGGATAATGGATTTGAAAATTATGATGGATTTGAGAATTATGATATTTTTCAAAGATTGAATTTGGAAATTATACTCTTGATTAAATTGATGTGGAAATTATGAAAAAAAATATTTGAGATCATTTTCCAATTATAAGAATTATGGCAACATTAAATTTTATTGATTGTGTGGTTGTAATAAATAATAGTGGGAAGATAGCTTTTGGGATGGTACCTCCTGAAAGTGATGAACACAACCTTTGGGCTTTATGCCTTTGATATTTATTTGATGGGAAAAATGTTTCTGCAGTTAATGCAGATAAGTTATCTGCAGTTATTCCCAAAACGACGTCATTTTGATATTGAAATCTTAAAAAATTATGAATATAAAGACTATTATAACCCTGAAATAAATTAAAATTACAAAAACACCATGATTTCTGCCCCAAAACGACGTCGTATTGATTTACTGCAGATAAGTTATCTGCAGTAACTGCAGAAAAAACAAACCCTTATTTGATATGACAATGATGTTTCCGTTCTTCCCAAAGTGGTATCTGGCAGCAAGGTTTCTCGGGGTACTAGTAGCAACTTTGGGAAGAGGTTTTCACACTAGGATTTGATATTTTGATGATGGCCAATTTTGATTATACGTGGCTGGCAACAGGGTTTCTCGGGTCACGGGGTAGACTGGCAACAGGGTTTCCCGGGTCTACCATGGTTCTCTTCCCACTACTGCACTAAATAAACTTAATAAAGATTATGAATGATATTTGATTCGATGTAAATATATATTGAAGCTGATAATTTGATGTGATTATGATGAGAATCTATATGATGAATATTGAAGTTGATATTTGATCTGATTATGATGAGAATATTTTATATATATGATGAAGTTGATATTTGATTCAATTATTATGAAATTGTATATTTAATTTGATTACTATATTTGAGTTATATAAATTGTGTTTTTGATTAGGATTACCAGCTTTGCTGATTGTTAGTGTTTGTGATTGTTTTGCTGCAATGATCTTAATGGGGAGCAGATTTTCAGTAATACAAGTTGCAAAAGATGGGGCTAGCAGTGGGCAGTGAGGATAATGACTAAGAGAATTTCCAGCTAGTTCTAAATTTTTTGTATAAAACAAAGTCTCTGATTTTATTTTAATATTTATGAATGTAATAGAGTTAGCCTTGCACTTGTCCATGTATAGGTGCGGCGGTAATATTTTCCCAAATTAGATTTAGATTAGCTTCCGCAATATTTTCTATGATCATAAATAAATAAAACGTGAATTTAGGCAATTTCTTTATTATAATAATGTTTCATAGAAATTTGGGGTGTTACAAAACCACTCCAAGAACATCAATATTCTTCATCAAAATTGCAGCCATGGGTCCCCATTTTCTCCCAATCTAGCGAGTTTCATGCCTTGAAATTACCATGGTTGTGTTTAAAAGGTTGTTTACTTAAAGTTTGATATAGTGAAAGTTGTGTTTTGGTTGAGTTTTGATGGAGTTTGGAGGAGATGAAATTTTGAAACAAAACTTGCATAAACACCAAAGGGGGCCGCGGGTTTGGAGAGAGGGAGAGGTGGGGAAGAACATGAATAGTGCCTTGTGCACATGTGTCTAGTTATAACTTAAGTGGAGTGGGTCCCACTACCACCTCGCGATTCAAATTAATTTAAATCTCTCGTTTAAACCACTAAACGTCCTTTAATTTTCAGACTATTTAGAAACTTCAATTTTTAATATTCACCAAGTCCTTTAATTTCCCTGGATCAGATGAATCTGGAGTTTTCCGATCGTTCGGTGAAATCACCGTTTTAAGTTGTTATGCACACTGTGGGCACGCTTCTCTAAAAACTCTAATTTCAATCAATTTTCATCAGAAATCATAATTCATTGTCCTATGTATCATTTATAACTTATTTCCAAACTTAGAGCTCAAAATTCATTCGGCACACTTTACGGTGCAACTGTATCATGGTATTTTTACCCGGTAAAAATACTATTCATCATTTTTTCAGAAACTTGCCTAACCACTCAATTTTTCGTTCTGAATCAATTTCCGGGGTTAGTTTTTCCATTTGAGACCTTCTACTCAAATTTCATGTCCTAGGGTTACGTGTTTGACAATTTACTATTTTCCCCTTTTTATGTATTTTGATTCCGAATTCAGGATTTTCACTAATTCTACCTTTTAATCCATATTTATAATATAATTATATGATTTAGAATTACGAGATGTTATACAATAAATGCTATCACATATGCCAAAAAAGAAAACCACGTGTCTTTTTCTGCACATAACATCAAAAAGGAAGATTGCCTTTTCTTTTGTAGGATGGTCCTTTCTCCATTTCAGTGGTCCATTCTCTCTTTCCACCTTATCTTCCTTGTATGCAGCACTATTGCAGCAATCTCAGCCATCATATTCCTCACGTAGCATTACTTGCAGCAAACAGCGCACAAGTCATCTATCCAAGAAAGATGCAATAAGCCAATAACTGAATTAACTGCCTCTTAACACAAAACAGGACACCGATACAGCAAAACTTAAAAGCAACTACCAAAAAACAGTAACAATCACTCCCGAACAAATACTATTTTAACTTTAGAGGCCTATCACTATTTCATAGAGTTACAAATGACTGTTTTAAATCATCATTCATTAGTTAGTCTTACCATGAAATAGTTTCATTGATGGTTTTTTTAGTAGTTATTTATAAGGTTTTGTTTTGTACATGAACTAGACAAGTAGTAGAAAAGTACTGCTTTTTCTCAAGATGTTTTCAGTTCACGTTGCTCTTCATTGTTTAGTTACATACAACAGTCTGCTTAGACCTTAATTAATAGGCTTTCTAATTTCTCTTCCCTATGCCACCCAGGAGTCAAAAATGGGTCGTGACAGGGTCCTAGATTTGTCTACTATTCTTATACCCATATGGACATCCCAGTTTATATCGTCATTTTTTTTTTTTTTGGCAAATTCACTAATCTAGTCTAGTAAAAATTTGCTTGTATATCAAATTCTAAAGCTGATCTTAAAACATAGACATTGCAAAATAGAAACAGTAGAATACGACTTGCTTTTAATAAGTTAAAGCAGAAACTCATGTAGAAAAGCAAAATCATCTAAAAAACCTTATTACCCGTTTAGTGCACCCAAATTAGATGCCTAGGTTTATACAAGAATCTCCCCACTGAGTTTTCCAAGAATACCAAAAAGATTTTTCCATAGTACTCAAAATAAATCACTCTCTATTAAACACCGACGAGTGAGAATAAGAGTCAGAGCAATCCTTATACATAACTTACCCTTGTATATTTGCAAAGAGGCTATTTTTCATATTCACACCCATGACCTTCCATAATTATCAGCTTAAAATAAAAATAAATAAATAAACTGAAAATAACATACATTGAGAGAGAGAGAGAGAGAGAGAGAGAGAGAGAGAGAGAGAGAGAGAGAGAGAGAGAGAGAGGCCTATTAACTTGAAAGCATCAAAACCACCCATTTATTTGGGCTCCATCACAAAATGATATTCAAATCAGAGTCTATATGCAGCTGATTAATTGTTTTCTTATCAAAGAATAGCAAAAAATACTTTTTACACAACAATTAGCCCACATTGGCGAGTGGAACTTTAGAAACAATGTCCAAATGCTTATCAAGCAGCATAGATGCTATGGCCGGAAAATTCTGATAGCCTTTGTAACCTGAAGCCGACAAAAGGGACACCTTGATACTGCAGAAGAACATCTCCGACACAATACATGACCACAAGGAACTATTGTTATATCAACCTCCGCACTCAGACAAACCCGACAAATCCATGCTGATTTTGCTGTATCAGCCTCTTTTGTTGCCCTTTCAACCTTTTCCTGTACAATTAATATAATGTAGCATGTTATTTCAAACTTACAATTTAACTCTACCAGATATGTCCATCATTAAGAATCTAGGAAACTACTTTGTTCAATCATATTACTTTGTTATACATTATAAAACTATTAACCATCCACAAAGCCTTAAACAACTGCTAAGCAATATAGATGCAATATTCTTCAATTGATACTTAGAAGTGGCATGCTTCCCCCCATATAGTATCCGACTGAATCAAGAAGCCTGAAGGAGCACAGTTGCCAGGAAAACCTATGGAGGCATTTGGTAAGTGGATATCCAAATTCCCCAATTAGAAATCTAGTTATAAGATATTTGAATATAAAATGCAGACAAAAATTCAATATTTTCATGTTTGATAAGTGATACCAACATGGGATATTAAATTTTGTAGATCTCATACTCAAACAAATTACAAATAGGTTTTCAAATTATTGGGAAATTAAAATATCTATATGCCAAATTCCTCTTCAGAGAGAAAATAATATTTTCTTTGGTTTGCAGGGTGGTAAAGAAATGGACGAATGGTGGGAAAATTGTAACTGTTCCAGGAATTGAAACATCCATACAGACAGAAGATAACAAAGATAATGGAAGAGCCAATACCTAAAGATTTAACACGTGTCCTTGTCAAAATTTCACAGATCACTCGGAAATCATAGTACTTATAAAAAAAAATCACCAACCTGCTCCAACAGAAGCACTGCCTGAGATTCTCTTAGATTTTCTTGCAAATTTATTGTTCTCTGAAGTAGAGCCTGCTTCTCCACATCCATATTGATCCCGGCAGCAGAGAGTATTTCATTGACAGCCTGCACCAGTTCTGCAGCAGAAACTTTGCCAGACTGCTCTCTCAAAGGCTGCACCTGTTCACACACAATTCTCATTCAGTTTAAGCATATTAAGACATCCAAGCAATTCAAAAGATGTAACAATATGAATAAATACGTTTATTGAGAAAGATTACCGGCAACAACCTACGCAACAGTTAAAGATAGATAACCTTAAGCAAAATAGCTAGCAGTTGAAAAGGACTATATGCTTCCTGTTTCTCTCACCTTTGCCCCAAATTAAACAAGTAAAACAAGAAAAAAGTCATAATTCATTCTTTAGGTTTCATTGAACCAAAACAACTATCTCGACTCTTATATGTGCGGATACTTATTGTTCATGTGCGTGTTATTGGGAAGCACATGAAGGGGTCATGAATTACAATGCCTGTAATGACTACGGATTTACGTTTAGAGAAATCCTCTTTCCTACATAAATGATGAGAAAATAAAGGTTGAAGAAGTTGAATGCGTAGAGCATGCCAAACAGATACTTCTCATTATTAACAAGTTCAGAGGGCTAAACCTGAGAGTAGCTTTCTCCCCTTCCTGAACTCTCTGGGAACTCAACATGAGGCCTGTTACTGCCTACTATAGGGCTATCATGCACCAATGTTTCTTTTAGGGGACTGCTTGCTGCTACACTTTTAAATGAAAATACTTGTGATGAAAGGAAAGTCTGTGTCACTCCTGGTGCAACTTCAATCTTAAATCTGTACAGAGCTTGACCAGCTGATGGTCTGACATCCTCAGGAACCTTACCATATTTCAGTTTTTCTCCGTGTTGAGACCGCCAAGCCACTATTTCACCAGAATAAAAGGGCCTCAATGGATGGAACTGCACAAGACGAGCATCTTGTGGCAATATTTCTTTGCCAACCATATTGCTGGTTCCATTTATGGGTTCAACTTCTTTCTTGTCAGAGCAAAGTTTTAAAACATTAACAACTGCAACCTCAGATCCTTCAGGACAAACTAATAAGGATCCAATAGGCAATATGATAGGAGAGTCTAATACCTGGCTGACTACAATAGCAATGAGATCAAAAAGGGAAATATAAGATGGTGGTTCAGCAACTAGAATACAGGATCTTGATTGGTTCATAAAATAAAGAGTTTGATGTGCAGATTCGTTCTTCCACTCTGGGATAACAAAATCTTTGGCTGCACGTGTAACATCTACTAAATTGGGCAAGAGCAAAAACCTTGTATTTAGATGCTTAACAAATTGCACCTTTTCTGCAGTAGAGTTCAGTAAGCATTCTATTTCATCCAATGAAAATCTATTGAATGCAGGAACGTAACTGGCCATGCTATTAACAACCGTCCATACTGCAGTTTGAAGGGATCTGCTTGATAACTTCTGTTTGATGGTCACTAGAAAAACAGAACCGATAGATCCCAAATACTGTAACTTCTGATTCTCATCTAGTTCCTAAAAGCCCAAACAGAGACATTCCGGTAAGTAAAAGCCATATGCAGACAAAAATAACGTAAAATCATTAACAGCAAAACAGAAGATAACATTAAATAGGAAAATGTATCTGAAATCTTGCTACCTCTATGACAACATCAGACAATTTTTTGATGTCCAGGACAGTACATACTCTCTCAGGAAGATCTGCATGGACAAATCTAATTCTGGAAGTATCAATACATTTAACATATCGAGAACCATACGAATCAACATAAACACAGGATGCTGAGCGAACAAGTCTGCAGCCATCATCAGGAACAATGGCTTCTGATTTCCAGTTAGACCCATCAAATGTGTTCCCTTCAACAATCTGATCACAAATAAAATTCAAAATTTCCATCACAGCACGGAGCTCATTTGGATTTAAATGCTGATATCCACAGGCTTTCTGAAGGTTTAAGAGAAGATCCTTTGCAGCAGTAAGTGTTAGCATGTCCTGAAGCCCCAAATCTTTAAGAATCTTCACGAATGGTAGATATACAGTGGGAAGTTCAAAAGCAAATGGAGACAAATTAATCATCAAACGAGCGAAAAGAGCATCAGCAGTCACTAGGCGCGTTCCATTTGCAGCAGGCAAAAAAGCCACTCCCTGTAGCTCTGCCACATCTGGAAAAGAAAAAGTGATTAGAAATACATTAAGATGATGTACCCCCTTATACACTTTTATGCCTTCTAGGTTGCTATACCATCAACTTAAGCAAAACAACTTAATCAACAGTGCATAATGTTAACAATAAAGGAGATAAAGGATCCCTTGCCTTTCCCTCTCTGACCAGAAAACCAAGAAAAACAGATCATGTACAAGACTTTCTCAAGGTTGGATGAATTGCATAGTGTCAAGAATGAGGGCAAAAAAGATCAAACTCACAATAACTAGGTCATAAAAGCCCTGATACTATGTCAAGAATCAACTCTTCCAAAAGCTTAAGGTTCTGGGTGAAGGTTCATGAATGGTTTTATATCTAATAAGAAACGTAGGGGATCACAGTAGCCCATCCTGAAATATTATCATGCCAAACCCCAAGAGCAATGCAAAATCACATTGAAAATAAAAGTACTGTATTTCAGGTTGGCAGAATCAGACTATTTTTTTTCCCTCAACCCTTTGCCCAAATGCAATAAGATGAGAATAGTAAAGCACCTGAGGAAGAAAGGGAACCCCAAATTTTGTCTAAATATTTTAAAATCTCACAGGTACACTCCTCAATGTTCATTCCGGAAGCAATGGGCCAATGAGCAAGAGTATCTTCACCTCCATTTTTCCCGATTACCTAGGGTAAAACAATGTTAGCATGAAATGCATTTAATAAGTCATACAGAAGGAAAAAGTAAACCAAAAGTATAATTTTTACTTGCAAATGCTTCAAAACTGTGGAAAAAGCTGGAGGACTCCGTAGATGGAAAGCTCCCCAAGAATACTCTGGTGGAACAATGTGTTGTTTGGAAAGAATGGGAGCACAACTCCAAGCTAGAGGCCAATCTTTAGACAAAATAGCTTCACTATATGAAGCAAGAACCCTCTTGCAACCAACACTTGGAAACCCCAGTTCAGCAGGTACACAGGCAATCTTGCCAAGAAGATCACAGAAGTTGTTGCTAAAGAAAAGAGCGAAGTTGGAGAAAACAAATTCAACTACAGATCCTCCTAATGCCCACACTTCTGGTGAAACTTCAGGATGAGAGTTGGTCATGTCTGCCTCAAAATCATCCGACTCACCTGATTTCATGCACTCAAATCCAAGAAACTCAACTCTTTTGGCACATTCAATTATTACATCTACTTCAGTAGCAGTTCTAAGGCCCAGTTTCCTTAATATTTGAAGCCATCCATTAGTACTGAACCTTTCTCCAGGAAATTTTCTTCTCTCACCAAAGAAAATAGAAATTAATATAGCATCATCAGGATCAAATAGTTCTATGGGCTTTAACAGATCTGTTGAAAATTCATCAGAATTTCTCACAAATTTAGTCTCTTTCAGAGCTTCAACCACCAATTGATTTGACTGAAGATCATGCCAATTTTTAAAAACGTATATTAGTATTTCCTCTTGCTCATTCTGAGGCTTCCTGTCAAAGCCAGGCAAGCCAAAGCGTACTAAGATCTGTTGATCACGCAACTCCAGCACCCCAAGGGCTCGAAGAAATGAACTTTCATGTGAATCTGTGGCATAAGAAAGACAATGCTCTTCATGTGGTTTAAAAAATGAATTTGAATGGATCATACACTGATCTTGACCTTGCAACTTAGTATAAGAACCAACAACTGTTTTATATATAGGGAGAGAACGCAAAACTTCAATTTCTTCCGGTGCATAGTGAAAGCCATTGGAAATGAATTCATCAGAAAAAAGTGAAAAAAGCTCATCACAATTTGAAGCTGAGAAGTTAGTAGGTTCATTGAAATATCCAGCTTGCTTAGCTGCCACAAGTTTGGATGCAATAACTTGGCCTAGTGGTTGATCAGGCATAGAAAAACAATTGCATGAAGCAGCGCAATCTATAAATGCCTCATCAAATATGGGTATATTACACTGGTTTAACATTGACAACAACCAGGGATAACTATTTTTGAATCTTTCAAAAGCTGAAATGAAGGACACAGCTAACTCAGCTTCAGAATTATTATCCCTAGATACCCTAACCTCACCCCCATAATTTTCAGTGGATTCTCTTTCTAAAATGCCACTCGTTAATGTTGGTTGCACAAAAGGAGGAATGAAGACCAGATGCCGCTCTCTTACACGGCATAAGACTGGCCTACCAAGAAAAGCAGGAATTAGGGGCCAATGAGAGAAAAGAGATAATTCTTCTTGTGATCCCCTGAAACTTTTCCAGAATATCCTAATCCATTCAGGAGAAGGACCCCCTTGACCACCAGAACTAGGCAGTTTCTCCCATGAGAGCCACGGAGCCATATTTGATCCCATTACATGGTTCACCCAGTCTTCATGGAAAATTAGTTTCATATGATTGGCTAGAAGATTAAGAGAAAAATTCTGCAGTTTCAATAGCGCTTGAAGGTAAAAGTTAGAAAAAATGTCACCCAAGAGAGGTCTGTCTAATACTTTAGGATGAATAAATTTTTCTCCTAAGGGAACCATTAATGATTGTTGCTCCTTATTCCCAATCCAAAGTTCAGTTGAGCCCAACTTTTTTAAATGGCTAGTTGCAGTTGGGCATGGTAAACCTTTGAGTTCTGCAGCAATTGATATAAACTTCGGGTCCCTATTTTGACCTATGCCTGTCACAGCATTCTTGTAAGCCGATGGTCCTGCTCTACCAATATCTTCAACAACACCCCGACCAAAATCAAATAAAGCCTTCCCTAAACTTGTCATCATTTCCAATGCATCTGCAGAACTGGCTGCTCCCTGAGTAGCTATGCCTGTGGAGCTGTGGATATTAGACTCCTGAGAAGAAGTGCTTCTGACATCAGTTTCTTGGCAAAAAGCATTAGTACTAACAGGACCAATTGGTGCATCATCTCTGGGCATGCTGGATGACCCTGTTTCCTGATAATCTGATAAGCAGTACTCAAGAACATCTATATACATGTCAATGGATCGCAGAGTGATTGATTTTGAAGAAATTTTTAGGAGATCCCGAACCATTTTAGGTCTAATTTCACGCACTGAAAAACCCACAGCTTGGATTTCAGTCACCAATTCCCAAGGTACAGAAAATACAGGATAATGCTCTTTTACAAAGCTGCAAACAGTAGCAGGAAGTAAACTACCAATCATCCCATTCCCAGGCTGTGAAAGAAACATGCCTTCTTCAGCCTTGACTAAGTTTCCTGAGTACAGCTGCCACACTGGAAGATCAACAATACGAGAATAAAATGGATGAATTACGCGTTCTTTAAGGCATTCCCAATCAGCTTTAAGAACTGCTGTTGTACTTGAAGGGGTGTAATTGTGATCACCAAGTTGATCAGTCAGAACATGCCTTTCTGAAGAACGTGGCCAGAAGGAGTAGATCTGATCTCCACAAGCCTTCAAAGAGAGATTAATCGCAGGATAGGCACCAGAATCAATTATAGAACTTGAAACATCTCTTCTTAGCTTCTGAATCTCCAAAGCCATTTCAACATAGGAATCACATACACAAGACATCAGCTCTCTGTTCCAAGATTCAATTAATTGATTTCCGGCATCAAAGTGTCCCTCAGCTGAAGCACCTCTGTCTTGGTATTTAAAGAGATAACGACCTCTATTGTGACACACAAGGAAACAACCTAGGACAGTAACAGGAATGTTTATACAACCAGACAAAGGAAGAGGGGTCATAATCGAACTCATTGAGTAAACATTGGCATGATGACCATTTCTGGATATAAGTGCTGCTATTCCAGCAACAGGAGTCAAATTGTAAGCCAGATACCGCCTGAGGAGAAAATTTGAAAGTTCAATAGATGCTATTTAACAAATTTCTTTGGAATAAAAAATTTAAGAGATAGACAAAATTTGGATGGTTAAACTTTAATCATGTTTACTACCAGTCAACTTCAAAGGTAAATTGAGACTTGTTTACCCACCTTCCAACTTTCAATTGAAACAGAACAAATAACAAATTGCAAAAGAACAAGATAAAATATCCCTTAAAAAGGTGTAAAGAAAAAAAAAGTCTAAATTAAATATCAAGACCAACGGCAAGAAGTAAACATCAAAGCTTCCAGTCCCATTAAACCATTGCAGTCAAGTAAGCCTCAAACAAAACTTTGTTCCAAACACCAAACATAATTTTCTATCATAAGTACATCAAAGAAAACAACCGAAGCATGAACAGGCAGAGGACAAAAGACATTAAAACACTGTATATGACTGGGTACGAACTCTTGCTTAAGATTAAGACATGTTCTCCCCTCATTTTGCATGCCATTTTTTTTTTTAATAATAACAATAATAATAAAAATCATTATCCTCTCAACTGATAGATTTTAATTTAAAATTTAGGGGGATGTTACATTTAAAGGAGCCATTCTCAAAGAAAATGAGTATTTTCCAAGAAACAAACCAAACTATGTGAAATTACCGCACACATTCATAAACCTCTCGCTCTTTTTATCTTCTTATTATTTTGTTTAGGAAGAGAAAGTACTTTATCTTTCTTAAAATGAGCTATCAAAAAGTGAACAGGTCTTCTAGTAAAGTTATACAAGGCAAACAACAAAACAACCAAGTTATCGCAAAACGTCAACATGGATTATTGACATTCATGCATTTTGAGCATAAATAGAAGACACATAATATCCACTACATTCTTCGCATAAAATGATACCTATCAAGAGCCATATTTCTCGTTTGCCCAGAACCCAGGCTCAGTACCAGAAGCCATCGATCAATGATTGTAGTCCCTTCTGAATATAAACTCACATCTATTACATGCATTTTTATCGCAGCATTGGAGCTGCTAAATAGTCTTGATAATTGGAACTTTCTCCATTTTTTTTCTGAAAATGGATTCCTCATAACAGAAGATGATGGATCAATGCTTATTGAAAAATTCTGGCATGGATGTGAATGTCCTTCTTCCCATGTTGATATTGACACCTGATGACAAAACAATTTCACTCCGATTCAAAATAGATTTATGAAAGCAGTCCAGACAAAAATGCTCTCAGTTAACAATCACAAACAAGAAAAATCAAGCATATAAGTGTTTTCTAAGAAGAATTTTCTATTAATAATAGAAAAAAGAGCAAGTAAAATTCTGGAGGATAAGGTATCCTTAGAAAAAAAAATACCAAAAAATAAAATTAGTCCTTGGTATTTCAAAAAAGAACTCTCCATCAAATCTCACCTGGGAGGGTAGAGGTGAGAAAATCCTTGTACACAGCCTTAACCTTGCATCTTTGCAAATAGGTTGTTTATTGAATTTGAACTCTTACTACTGCTCTATACTCGCTATCTATCCTTGGTTATTCATCCAAAAAAAAAGTTGTTTATTAGATCTGCAGTTAATTGAGCTTAGCTCTGTAACTAGTCCTTGATTATCTCCTGTACTTATTCACTTATGACACCAATGAGATAGACCGTGCGTACACAATATACACATTTCTGTCAAATGCTCTTTGATAAAGTAGTCCCAGGTCTGGCTAGTCCAATACAAGTTAGGTAACAAGCTACAAAAAGAGAGACAGAGAATGAAAAAAAAAAAATTGTGGAAAACCCTAGCCAGCATGTTTCTCTTTTTCTTGGGTCTGATGCCGAAGAAACATAATTAAGATACCTGAATGATTTTCATTTTTCATCTTCAGCACTAATTTTTTTAGTTTCATCAACAACCCAATCTAATATCCATGGCAGACAGCATTAGACCTTCACCACACCAAATCCCTAGTTATTTCTTACTCGAATTTGCAGCAAAACCTAATCTAGCAAGAACTGCTCAGGCCCATTAAGCCTCAACCTAATGCTTTCAAACTATTAAGAGTAGTTGTTAGAATAGTTCAGTGTATATAGTCCCACATCTTGTGGGCTTAGCTTATTAGGTCTTTTAATCTCTTAAAACAGAAAGCTCTTTTACATTGTAACACACTATTATTCAATATACAATTATTCTTTAATCTCAAGTTGGTACCAAAGCTTTTTCGTTTCACTTCCGCTAAAACCCTAAGCTCACTACTTAGGTGTTCTCTTCTATTTTTCCGTGCCTTCTCCCGGCAAGTTTTTCATCAGCCGTGTGTCCCTACGGCAAGTTCTCTATGTCGTGCGTCTCTCCGGCTTGTTTCTTCAACCGTCAAAACCACTGCCCGCCGCCAACAACCACCGTTCGTCACTGTTCAGACCACCAGAGTACAGTTCCGGCGTCGATTTCAACCAAAAAGCCTGCGATCAAAGCCCTCTCTCCGGCGACCAAGTCTGTGGAAGACCCATCACTAGAGGAGTCCCCACGCGCAGCTCCTTCTCTCTGCGCGTGGTGCTAACGAGCCAACCTTCACCGACGCATGTGCACTGTTTCGGCGTCCTTTTCCCATCGTTCCTGGACAGACTAGCTTGGTTTTTCCTCCTCTCTTCAAATATGTGCTTGATTTTTTGTGGGTCTCACTTTCGACGCGTGTTTCTTCTTGATTGGTATCTTTTACCTTCGTTTACGGCTTTTATATTTTGTTTTTAATGTCAGCAGTGTCCCCTGATCTCTCGGAGGTTAACTCCCCTCCTCCTACCAAAACTTCCTCAGGAATCATCTGTACTAATGTTGGGCCGATTACCTTTTCCAAACTGAAGGGTTCTGATAATTACAAGAATTGGGCCACTGTTCGTGTCTAGCTCTTTGGACAGGGGCATGGGCGTCATCTCTCTGTTCCATCAACTGATATCCCTAAGGCTGAGAAATCTGAAGGGAAAGGATTGATAATCAACTTCTGAGTATTCTTTGATAGTAAATGAATCTGAAATATATTGTATATTCAAGTGTATAAGTCTGTACAAGGAGGCTCTCTATTTATAGAGACTAAAAAGACCTAATGGGATGACCTAATGGGCCAAGCCCACAATCTAGACTATTCTAGACTATTCTAATAATAATAAAATATTATTATTTCTAACACTCCCCCTCAAGCTGGTGCGTATATATCAAAAGCTCCCAGCTTGTTACAAATATGATCTATTCGGGGACCTCTAAGAGCTTTAGTGAATACATCCGCAAGTTGATCATTGGAATTGACAAATGCTGTCTCGATCTCCCTTGACTGGATCTTTTCTCTAACAAAATGACAGTCAATTTCTATATGCTTGGTCCTCTCATGAAAGACTGGGTTAGAGGATATATGCAAAGCGGCTTGGTTGTCACAAATGAGCTTCATAGGCCTTTGTTCACAGAGACGAAGTTCCTTCAGCAATTGTCTCAGCCAGATGAGCTCACAGGTTGCATTTGCCATTGCCCGATATTCTGCCTCCGCACTGGATCTGGCGACCACAGTTTGCTTCTTACTCTTCGAAGAGATCAAATTTCCTCCGAAAAGAACACAATACCCTGAGGTGGATCGTCTATCTGAAGGAGAACCTGCCCAGTCAGCATCTGAATAACTAGAGATCTCTGAACTCCCTTTATTTGTATATAATAAACCTCTTCCTGGCGCCTTTTTAATATATCGGAGAATTCTAATAACTGCATCCCAATGGGAGTCACAGGGAGAATCAAGAAATTGACTTGCAACACTCACTGCGAAGGAGATATCTGGCCTTGTCACAGTAAGATAATTCAATTTTCCAACTAGTCGACGGTAGCGACTAGGATCTGGCAGTGGCTCCCCCTGTCCTGGTAATAACTTAACATTGGGGTCCATAGGTGTATCAATGGGTTTACAGCCTAACATTCCAGTCTCATCTAGGATATCCAGTGCATACTTCCTCTGACAGATGGAAATGCCCCGCCTAGACTGTGCAACTTCGATCCCCAAGAAATATCGAAGTCTGCCAAGATCTTTGGTCTGAAAATGATTGAATAAATGCTCTTTCAACTGATCAATCCCGATCTGATCACTGCCTGTAATGATAATGTCATCAACATAGACCAGGAGATAAACGCACTGGCCAGAAGAGCTATGCCGGTAAAAGACAGAATGATCGGCTTTGCTTCTGATTAAGCCAAAGGATTCAACAACTGAACTAAAGCGGCTAAACCAGGCCCGAGGAGATTGCTTCAGGCCATATAAAGATTTCCGAAGTTTACATATCATTCCAGAACTCTCCCCCTGAGCAACAAAACCTGGTGGTTGCTCCATATAAACTTCTTCCTGCAAGTCACCATGTAGAAAAGCATTCTTAATATCAAGTTGGAGAAGAGGCCAGTGATGAATGGCGGCAAGGGCAAGAAACAGGCGAACAGAAGCCATCTTAGCAACAGGAGAAAAGGTATCCCCATAATCAAGACCAAAGATCTGTGTGTATCCCTTGGCCACTAAGCGAGCTTTAAGGCGATCAACAGTGCCATCAGGACCAACTTTAACTATGAACACCCATCGACAACCAACAACAGACTTCCCGGGAGGAGCACGAACAAGATCCCAAGTGCCATTAGAGTGAAGTGCCTGCATTTCATCAAGCATCGCCTGGCGCCACCCTGGATGAGATAGTGCTTCACCTGTGGTTTTAGGGATGGAAACAGAAGAGAGACTAGAAACAAAAGTAAAATGTTGTGAAGAAAGTCTGTCATAACTCAAGAAAGAATAAAGGGGATAAGGATTTCGAGTGGATCGAATACCTTTCCGAAGGGCAATGGGAGGAGTCTCTGATGGAGGATCCGGAGGAGAAGAGCCGACGGGAAAGGGCGATAAGTCATCAAGAGGCAAAGTCGGAGGAGGTGCAGGCTGACGACGCTGGTATGTGAGGAGAGAACGATCTGCAGGTATGGAGGTAAATGGTTGCTCCTCTGGAATAGGGGCACCTGCAGCTGGTAAAGACAAGTCAAGAAAAGGAACAGGAAGGACCTGATCAACTTGTGACACTGGAGACGGAGTAGAGTGAAAAGGCTGCTGATCAAGGAAAGTGACATCAGCAGAAACGATATAACGCTTGAGATCAGGTGAATAGCAACGATACCCTTTTTGAAAACGGGTATACCCAAGGAAAATACATTTGAAGGCCTTGGATGTCAACTTGTCTTTACCTGGAGTAAGATCATGAACAAAACAAGTACAGCCAAAAATATGTAAAGGCAGAGGATAAGAAGGTGCTCCGGAAAACAAAATACTGTGGGGAACATCATTATTTAGCACAGAAGAGGGCATGCGGTTGATAAGGAAACATGAGGTGATAATAGCATCTGCCCAAAAACGAAGTGGGACGTTCATATGAATGAGAAGAGTACGTGTAGTTTCAACTAGATGTCTATTTTTACGTTCAGCGACTCCATTTTGTTGTGGAGTGTAGGGACAAGTAGTCTGGTGTATCGTCCCATGTGTATCCAAAAATTTAGAAAATTCGAGAGACACATACTCTTTTGCATTATCACTGCGCAAGATTGGAATAGAAGCACCAAATTGAGTTTTTATTTCTGCACAAAACTTTTGATAAATTGAAAATAACTCAGAACGATTTTTCATTAAATAAACCCAAGTGCAACGGGAGAAATCATCAATAAAGGTTACAAAATACTGAAAACCCAAAACTGACATAGTCCGACTCGGACCCCAAATATCAGAATGAACAATAGAAAAGGGAGCAGCAGCTCTTTTATTGACTCTACTAGCAAAGGAAGAACGAGTATGCTTTCCCTGCTGACAAGACTGACAATTCAAAGACTTAAGACCTGACAAAAAAGGAACCATATGCTGAAGCTTCGAGAGACTTGGATGACCCAGACGGCTATGGAGAAGCTCAGGAGACTCTGTGAGAGAGCATGCAACTGGAGCAGAGGGTGCATGCAGATAGTAGAGACCTCGTGACTCACCGCCCGCTCCAATCGTCTTCCCCGTACTCGGATCCTGCATAGAAAAAGACTGTTTAGAAAAGGTGATAGAGCAAGAAAGAGAATGGGTCAATTGACTAACAGAAATTAAATTAAAAGGAATGCCAGGGATGTAATAAACAGAGGTTAAAGTCAAGAA